GAAAAGTAATTTATGAATATAACACAACTGGTAACAGCATCTTCCATAAAATGACAGCACCTCAGCATGTGCTGCCATCATACCAAAGCCTGTTAACCAGTAGCTACACGAGGTCCCACAAACCCTCTGTGCTCAAAAACATAGTCATGTAAAAATGTTGTTAGCTACACAGCAGAAATGCAACAAAATAAATACTTCTGCAACAATTAAGAATAAAGATAAATAGATTATTCAAAAATTAATGAAAAACAGGGAGAGAAATTAACCCTCATGCTTTGGATTGGCTTTGTTTCTGATTATGGGGTCAAAGGTCAAGGTCAAAGTGTTTATTTGTCATAGGCACAGTTAGGAAATGTGTTTCCCTGGACAATAAAATTCTTACTTTGCCGTCCACATGAATGCCACACAATACAAGTGAAAGTAATGAAGGAAGTAATGAAAGGTTTTTAAGAAGCAGGCATAAGATGAATGATTTAAAAGAAGCTAAATGGCAACAACTCACAATCCAGATGGTCAGCACTGGCCTTGGCCTGACCTAATATTGTGGTTCATTTGTCTGTTTACGTCACAGTGAAACATGTAGAGACATGGCAGGTGAGGCAGGCTATAAAAATTCTAATGTTTGGGTTAACATTGACTGTAATTCCCAGTGTGAATGTGATTTTTTTTCATCTAAAGAAAATGATGAGATAAAGGAAACTTTTACAAACAGAATGCTTTTTATGATTTTGCTATAGAGGCTTTGGTCTTGACTGGTTTTGGAAGAGAAGAGTTGCTGAACAGTTTGTTTTCAATTAATCGATTAATGAACTGTTAATGTGACCTCTAGTGGAGCTGCGAGCGATAAGCGCTGGGTGGTGTAGGATTAATATCAACAAAATGTAGCTTTGTGTGCAGGAGTATATTTTTTATTATTTTAACATAATTTTATTGATTAGATGTTTTAAAGTTTGGTCTCTAAAATGGCAGAAATTAGTAAACAATATTCATTAGAACGTTTTAAAACCACAAGGTGACATCATAAATTTGCCAAAGTCATACCAAATCTACAATTACATTAAACTAAGAAATGCAGAACATCCTTACATTTGAGAAGGTGTAACCAAAATATGTTTATAAATAAATCACTAAATTATTGATATTTTCATGATATTTGCAGATTAATTTTCTGTTGATCAGTTACTCAGTAATTCATCTAAATGGTTCAGTTCTAGTAGGGATATTATGAATCTTTCAAATGCAGTGTCTTGTTAATATTGTGATAAAGTATTAATTTTGAAACTCAACATATAAAAAATGAAGACAGCTGACACATATAAACTGATATTGATAGAAGTCAACAGGAACTCAGTTGACAAGGTGTTGGTCTTGCATCCAAATGCTTCTGAGCATAATTATATAAACATAAAGTTACCCATAAAAGATTGAGACCTTTGAAGTCATCCCTGTGGTTCTCTTGTGAGTTGATCCCTCCTGCACTTGCGCCAGCCAGGTCTGGACGACACTGTCTACTAAAAAAGGAAAAGGCTTGATCTAAGAGTGAAATAATAATCCAGGGTAGGTGTGGGATGGGAGGTAATTCCAAGGAACCCAGCCATCCGGATCTGAAGTATCCAGTTTCATCTCTCACTGCATGCTCTGCTACCTATCAGCAAAAACATGAACATCAACTTCAGATGACAGCAGGCTAAAACTGGTGGCTATCAAAACCCAGGAACTGGCAGCTTGGCTGTGATATCTCCTTTCTACAGTGAAACCCCTGGGTTCAGATGTCTCATGGTGAGGAGTCTGTGCTCCACTCACTTGCAGAACTGATAATGAGGACATCATAAACACAACTTAGGCTCTACTAGGAGAAAACGTTCACACTATTAATTCGATAGAGCTGTGCATGCTCCTCACATCTCAGCTTATACACCAGATGGTGAGTGAAAACTAACATATGATGCAAGTCATACTAAGTTCACTCTACTCTGAAAATAGTATTACATATCTGAACCGGTTCTGGGTCAAAGTTGTTGATAGTGTCATTTTCATGGAGCCTTCTGCACTGTTTAGAAGAATAAATAGAATCAGAAGATTTAAAGTAGAGCTTTTAAACAATGTAATATAATTTGTCAGTTTAGTGTGAAGAAGATGGAATCTGGTACAGATCAAGGCACACCTAAAATAACGTCCCCTGGGACAAAGCATCCCACAGGAGGGAGACTGTATTTAACAGATTCAGTCAGAGGCTTCCCAGAAGTACAGTATACTATAGCTTTATATCTCTATAGACTCATTCTAGTGTGTGAGACAGTGTCATCACCAACTCTATAGTGCACACATGCCAGACTGGATCGAAGTTCATTCTGTGCAGAGCAGCTGACACTAGAATGATGTGATCCAAATGAGCTGTTGACTAGTGTGGCTAACCTTCTAAACACTTCTCTTTCAATTTATAACACACTCTCAGTGCACACACAAACATGATATGCACATGTGTTCATTCACTAATTACAATAATAGCAATTCCGGATACACACACACAAACACACACTTTGTAAATACTTGGACTGAGCTTCGGAAGGAGGTGAAAGCCAAGAGGAGTCAGTGACACGAGCTGCCACCGATTACCTAACGTCTGTAATGGGTAGGGAAGGAAATTCATCCTGTCTTTATTTAGACGAAGACGCACTTCGGAGGATGAAGTGCAGTTCATCAAAATGGTAATAGACATGGAGTCCTCATAAAAAAATAAAGTTGTGGTGTTTCTCAATATCAGATCAGTGCTAACATGATTCAGTTTTAGAACAAATAAAACATGACTAAGTTATTCAGTCAACTCATAACGGACCTTTCAATCATACTGTTGAGACTATTTGAGATAGTTTGTTCTGTGAATAGTTGTATTTAATGTCACACAAGCACAATTAATGAATCATGAAGATATAAATATCAGACGAGATCACTGATTTTCTCATAATAGTTTTCTGCAGAATGATGAGAAAGTACATTTTTTTGGTCGGAGTAAATCCACGATGTCTTGTTACCATTGGAGTCTCCTGCATCATAAATCGAGTCATTAATAATGAGGGGAGTAAACTCGTAGTCAGCATTCATGCAGCCTGCAGACTCTATGGCATGTGTCTCCCAGGCTACTGTATATCTAATTACATGAGCTCATGTAATAAGTGTCAAATATGCACAAATATGCATATCTATCCATCTTTAAGTAAATGTATGGATGGTGGAAACAAATGCATGGCAACAAAGGAAATCTTGTTATACTTTTGCTGAGTAATAAAACAAGGTAATATGAATACTGTACTCAAATGGTATTATTATTGTAGATGGGGGGGCTACTGTAGATCTTGATAATCGTAATAATTAGTCTTAAATTCTTTCACTCTTTGGCTTTTACTGAATTTAAAGAGTCACGTGTGCATGTGTCCATTCCTCAGCTTGTTTGTTATGGTGTGTTTCCGTGGGTACAGTCAAAGCCTGACACATTGGCGTGACCCAGTCATTTAATGAATGCTATATGCTAGCATAATAGCAGCAGGCACCACTGTGTCATGACACTGACATTTGACTCTGAAATCCAATCCTTCACTCATTAATGGAAAGGCTAAACAACACTGCACTCCTTTGGGAACTCCTGCTTGTCAACTTGACTGCAAAACAAACACACAAATCTCTCATAACATACAAGTTTAATGTAGCATGTTATATCTGCCAAAGATTGCCTACATTTATGTAATAACACAAACTGCCCAAGTTGATTTTAGTAACACTGATTAGCACCTTTGTGCTATTATTGTGCACCTGTGTCTACAACTGCCATGACTGACATAACAGATACAGCCTTATGAAGGCAATGAAAGTGGAAAAACAGAGCTATAAATAGATATAATGCTGCAGTCCACAAGTAACTTTGCTCTGTCAGGTTTTTATGATTCTGTCTTTAAGAACAAAAGAAGAAACTGTTCTGTCAAAGAGTAAACCTTGAACACTTTGTTTTTATCCTGCCAGTGGAGGATTTGCAGTCTGATCAGAAATTATTACAAATGGAAGTATATTTGCAGTTTTTTTTTCTCAACTCATTGACCCCTGAGGCTAGTCCCTCTGATGGTCCCCATGTTCCAAGTTGAGCCCTGTAAGTGCAATGAACGATGAAGTTTGGCTGCTTCCTGAAGCAAAATCTCTAGCTACTCAAGTGTCAGGCAAGCCAGCATTTTCCACTGGCTGCATCCAGGAGGGGTCGGAGTTACAAGGCTCTGTGCTTCGAAACATTCAGATTATTCATTCTTATATATTTCAAGACACAATTAATATGAAGCTGCAGAAAAAACAGGTCTAAGTTTGGCAATCTAAATGTGTTTGTCACGGTCGTCTGTGGTTTTTAAAACTGTGGGCTGTGACCCAAAGCATACACACGCTGGGTCCTGGAGGTTCCCCTTGTGGCAAGAATAGCCCCATGATTTCATGAATGAGGGACCCGCAGGGCGAGAGACTGCATTTCTGAGTAGACTCTGGATCTGGATACTTACCTCGCTTTAAACAAAAGAAGTGGAATACATTCACTTGCAACTCATTTTAAGTATAGTACTTTAGTGTTTATTTGGAAATCAGTGCACTCCTAAACTGAAGTGAATGTGAGAGGGACAGCAGCAGCAGCAAATGTCATCTGGTCTTCCAACTTGGGGAGGGCTTTGGAGTTTAAAATGGTGTAAATATGATAGCCACCTCTAGCCATCAGTATAGCTTTTGCAATTGGAGATCTGTTTGTACCACTGAAAGGTGACAGTTCAGAAGGAGAAATCTGACAAAAGAACGGTGTAAATCAACAACAGTACAACGATCGTGGATATCAACAAATAAAACCATTGGGACTTGAGGTGCAAAAGGCGCAGAAACTTGGCTTGGGTGGCTGCATGCAAGTTGAGAGGACGCACGAGCAGAGGGGCAAGAGGAAGACACCGAGGAGGTGACGGATTTACCCTCAGAAGGGTAAAAAGATGACTGTGGTATCCCAAGAGAACTACGACGAGACTGTGGCCATTACTCCTTTGTTGCAAGATGTTCCTGACGTGGAGCCAGTGGACCAGGAACGCAGCGAAAGGGTGGTCATCAACATCTCAGGTCTGCGCTTTGAGACGCAATTAAAGACCCTCTCCCGCTTCCCGACCACGCTTTTGGGAGATCCATGTAAACGGATGCGCTTCTTTGACCCACTGAGAAATGAGTACTTTTTTGACAGGAACAGGCCGAGCTTTGATGGCATCCTCTATTATTACCAGTCAGGGGGTCGGCTTCGGAGGCCTGTGAGTGTACCTGTGGATATTTTCCTGGAAGAAATAAAGTTTTATGAACTTGATGAAGAAGCCATAGAGCTTTTCCGAGAAGATGAAGGCTTGTCAAGAGAAGAGGACCGCCCGCTGCCTACCAACGAATTTCAGCGACAGTTATGGCTCCTGTTTGAGTATCCAGAGAGTTCAGGACCTGCACGGATAATTGCCATTGTGTCAGTTATGGTTATTTTGATATCCATTGTTATATTCTGCTTGGAGACATTACCTGAATTTAGAGAAGTTCCCATAGTGCACAACAACAACGGAAGTGCACAGGGCAAAGCGATCAGCCCCTTCACAGATCCATTTTTCATAGTGGAGACACTTTGCATCGTGTGGTTCTCATTTGAATTCACTATGAGGTTTCTTTCCTGTCCTAGCAAAGCAGTTTTCTTTAAAAACATTATGAACCTGATTGATGTTGTGGCTATAGCTCCATATTTTATCACTCTGGGCCTAGATCTTGCGGAGCATCAAGGCAGCAGTCAGCAGGCTGCCTCTTTGGCCATACTGAGGGTCATTCGTCTGGTCCGTGTCTTTAGGATTTTTAAACTCTCCAGACACTCCAAGGGTCTCCAGATTCTTGGCCAAACACTTCATGCAAGCCTCAGGGAGCTGGGACTGCTCATATTCTTTCTGATAATTGGAGTGATTTTATTTTCCAGTTCGGTTTATTTTGCAGAAGCTGAAGACCCTGAGTCTGTATTTACAAGTATTCCTGATGCCTTTTGGTGGGCTGTGGTGACAATGACCACAGTTGGTTATGGAGACATGTGCCCCTCCACCATTGGAGGGAAGTTCATTGGATCTTTGTGCGCCATCGCCGGAGTACTCACCATAGCATTACCTGTTCCTGTAATCGTGTCCAATTTCAATTATTTCTACCACAGAGAGAACGACGACGATGAAAACCTTCAATATGTACACGTGACTTGTGGGCAGCAACCACAACACTCCCGTGTTGAAAGTGATTCAAACAAAAGTAATCAGTCGCTGTCCAAAGCAGGGTCCTATCAGGAAAGCGACGACTTGGAAACTTTAGCATGTCCAAACATAAACCCACTGGAGAAATACACGGGGAAACTGACAAATGTATGAAGAAGACGACCTTATTTCTGGTGAGTTGACTTCCAGTGGAACGCAATATGCTTCTTCATTTTGGATGCTGCAGGTGTTTATCACACACTTATAATGGTTCACAAAGTGGAGCTTCATACCTTTGATACAGCGCTCATCAAAATGCGAACTGACTTACTTTCACTGTAATTTAATTCACCAGATGACAGATAAGAAAAATGTTCACTGCTGCGAATGCTATTTCCTTATATTGGGGCTCCTTGGAAGAAAAAATAAGAGAGGGACTGGGGATTAAAGTGGAACACATTTGGGAACTTCCGGGGCTGACGGCAATTGAGCCATAACAAATCTGTCAACTTAGCGAGGAAAATTGTAATAACCAAAGAAACTGAAACTGGGGGTGTTGTTTTCAGCTTTACAGTTGAGGCATGGACAACTCCTCAGTTGACAGTGAGCAGGTGTTTTTTCTTTGCACAAAGAAATGGCAGCACAAAACACCCATCATCCTTCTAGTGTTGAGAAAACTGCGCTGCCTATTCTAACAACCCCAAAGCCTTGAATAAAGTAGACGAGGAGAGCCCAGCCGTGCGCCAAAGCGCCAACAAGGCACAGGGCAGTCAGTTACTCACAATGGAGAGCTCAACGAACACAAAACCGAGAAAGTAATCTCTGTCACAGTAGAGTTTGGGTTTAGGCAGTGTGTGTGAGTGTGTGTGAGAGAGAGGGTATGTGTGTCGGGCTTGCGTTGTGTACTGCACTGTGGAAATCTGGCTGCTGCGATGAGCACAGTGCCGCTTATTTAGCTCTCCTCTGCATTCAGGCGTTTGAGATACTGTTTGTGGCGGACATATCCTCGTGCGCAAACACCAGAGGCTTTTGGTGTTATGCATCTTTACGCCCCAAATGCACAGTTAAACACTGTGTAGACCTTCTTTGCAAAACTGTTTATAATTGGTAAAGTCAGCTCAGGAAGTGAGTAACAAATTTTAAGCAGCATACTGCAGAGATTTTGGGCGGTAGGACCCCTGCGATGTGAAACGTTTTCATTGGGCAGAGACGCATTTGAAGACAGGAGATAGGACAGATCACACGGACATAGACGCTGGTGATGGAGTCGAGCCAGCAGGTGTTGAGGGGAGCCTTGGAGAGTGAGCGCCACTCTGTGGATGATAAAAATCTCTGCAGACAACGCTTCTTCTCACCAGCGTGCGAATTAACCCTCTACTTGACTGTCTTAAGCCCATAAGATCCTCTGCTTTCTCTCAGCTCCTAATGTTAACACAGACTTTTGTTTTCTGCTTACTTGCAGGAGGCAGACGATTAAGTGACGCTGAAGGTGGGTGCAACAAAATGCAAACGTGGCATTCTCTTCTTCTCCAAAATCTTAGATCATTTTCTCACGGATTACTATTGCATTGCCAGGGATGTAGCCTACAGAGACCTCACGGTGGAAACGCTTGCAAAAACTTTACCCTGCCGTAATGGACATTGTGTGTAATATCATTAGGAAAAAAAATCAACATTCTTTTGTCATGATTTCATAAATGACCACGCTTTGTGAATATACTTCGTTTTTATGTCTGAATGCCCCCTTTCTTAAACAGCTTATAATGCAAAGTTACCTCTGTGTTGTTACAAACATCCAAATTGCATTAGAGCTGGCTGCAAACCGCGTAGCCAAAAAGATGCCATTTCAGCATGACGTGAATTCATTTTGAATTTTAAATGTGATAATATATTTATTTTTCTAATTTGAATATGTATGTGGACTTAATCTTTTTATAAATAAATCTTGAATCAGAAAACATACCACTCGTGATTTTTTTTTTCATTCTTCATTATTCACATCAGACACAAAAAAGGTGAACAGCAAGTCACAGTGTAAAAATTCTCAGTCGATTCCCATGAATGAGTTCAACACTTTAGCTCAGTGATGGGAAAAGGTGCAGAGCCATACACTGGACTGTCTTGCCACAAAGCCAGTTAAGTTTATGAAATGTCACTGTGATAAAGGAAGGACAATTTATCTGGCTGGGGGAGCATTTTAACAAATTAGACAGAGGTCCGTTAATCTGATTTGGCCTTGAATGTGTGTTTTTAGAGTCAGGCGACAGCTGAGTCAGTTCAGCTCTGCCCCTCACTGTTCTAGGCCCTGACATTTACAGTTCAGCTGATGCACAAATGCAAGTATCATTTGCTTATTATGACATTTTAGTGTAATAGGTCGTGCTTGTAGTTTTCTGAGATGAGTCAATTCTCTGCGCTGTTCGTGGCGCTGACAATGAAAGCGATCCTGTGTTCTCTGCAGAGCATCATTCCACTAAACACAAAGTTATATCTAATGTACTGCATTTGTTTCATAGCTGCTTCTGGGACCAAACAGATGTGAGATAAAACTAGCAATAAAGGGGAACTGAGAAAACATAAGACCTGATATCATGAGAAGGCCGAAACACATTGTTAACGATGTTATCTTTCTCGATGCTTCTTAGTGAAGTGATTTTAAAAACACTAAATCAAATTTGGTCTCACATGAACTCAGCACACGTCAGTTCTTGACACAGGAGTCTTTTAATATCTCACCAACAGATGATAGGCTCCCTTTTAAACTATATGTCATCTCAAGTCTAAAACAGTGTGATTTTCGTTACCAGCTGTCCTTTGCAGTCTGGTTGCAGTGCTCTTGTCTTTGTGGTGTATGGAGAACTTCTGGCGGCGGGTTGTAGAAAGCCGGCCGGTCTGCACTGCGTCGAAACCCTCGAACTCCTCCTCCTGCTGCCCTCCCTCCCCCTTCTCCTCTTCCTTCCAGTGTTTATCCCTCAGCTCCCCTGGACTTGCATGTAAAATGCACAGCAAAACATGCTCGACATTGTCGAGAAAACATCTGGACCTCGCTGCTGCACTTCAGTGTCTTTTAGCTATCCGTTTTGGTCTTCTGTTCTGCTCTCTGAGCAGCAGAATGACACATTCTGCCCGTCATCTTGTCTACTCGCAAAATGCAGCAGATTTCTGCTGATGCAGTGATGTCTGGAAATGTAAAGGGCTCGCTTAGTGCCCGTTAATGTATTTCCCCCGAAGTACAGCGCAAGATTCTCTCCTGCGGTAAACTGTAGCCTGCGGTAAGCTGTTCACACCGCCGTGCCGCCTCGCAAGCAACTACGGACGCTGCAGCTTTCCAGTCCTTCCTTTTCTCCCATGTTCTATATCAGACTTTCTTCATCATGATTTTGTTCATCATCTTGTTATCTCATCTTGATTTACCGTCTAAAGACGTTTATTCCCATTTGAGCCAACTTTGATTGTGACTGGGCACAGTTAGGACGATCATGAGCCCACTGTGGCTCTAGGTTTGTGCGTGCGTGCGTGCATGTGTGTGTGTGTGTGTGTGTGTGTAAGTGCAATGTAAAGTTGCCACATGACACCCATTGGTGCTCTACTGCTGAATGATTTTACGCGAGGATAGTCGGACGCATTCAAGACTTTTCAAGATCAACCCCATGGTAAGACTCGAAACAGATTTTTATAGATTGGATTTTATGATAGTTGCTGTTGATGTAAAGATAATACACTGTGCTTTTTGCATATTCTGCCCCGGACTATAGGCAATATACAGGTAGAAGCATCAGTTGGTATAATCTCTGTATAGAATGTTAGGCCTATATGACATATCACAGTTCAGGCTGGAGAAAGAGACTTAGGAGAAATCACTGTCATGCTCCTTTAAGACACAAACACACTTCAAATCTTTGACAAAGTAAAAAAATGTCTAAAAATATGACAGGAGTGTAACAAAAAACAGGAGATAGAATGCCAATAGAAAATCTGAATCAGAATCAGACTCACATTTATTGGCCAAGTATGTATTAACACACAAGGAATTTATCTCAGGTACAGAGGCTCTCAGTGTGCCTGTAGGTCAGCAAGGAAAATAGGAAAACATATGCATTTAAATTAGGAAAGAGAACAGAAGAAGAAATAAAGAGAACAATCTATTTACAAATATATAGAAAATACCATTTAGTACAAGAAGATCATCCTAAACTCATTGAGTTGGCTACTGAAGAGAGACTGTATGTGCCTATTTTATAGAAATTTCAGAGCAATTCTTCCTCAGAGCAATACATATATATATATGTATCTTAATGTAACTGCACAAATTGCAGGCAAAGCGAATTAAATAAATAAATGAACTGTAGAATATGCTGAGCCAGCCGATATCTTGTGTTTGATCCCATTATCCCCCCTCCCCCCCTTCCCTCTCTGGGTGACAGAGGCAGCAGTAACATCAGCAGCAGATGCACTGGAGAGCAGCAATGATCAACTCAGCGAGAACCGCAGTGGAGCCGCACTGAGGCAAAGCAGCCAAGCAGCCCCCCTGTGTCTGGGGACGTCTCCAGCAATTTACGTGGTGTGGGAAGCTGAGATCCTGAATGTCTGCTCAGTCAGACTAACCAACATCCTGACACAACTCCTGCTCCTCTTCCTCCACGACCTCCTCTTCCTCCTCCCAAAATGACCATAGTAGCAGGAGATAACATGGACGAGACCTCGACTGTCCCCGGCCACCCTCAGGACACCTACCCCCCAGATCACAATGACCACGAATGTTGTGAGAGGGTAGTCATCAACATAGCTGGTCTCCGGTTTGAGACACAGTTGAAAACTCTTTCACAGTTTCCAGAGACATTGCTGGGCAACCCCAAAAAACGGATGCGGTACTTTGATCCTCTGAGAAATGAATACTTCTTCGACAGAAACCGCCCCAGCTTTGATGCCATCCTTTATTATTACCAATCTGGGGGTAGGCTGAGAAGACCAGTAAATGTCCCTTTGGATATGTTCTCAGAAGAAATCAAATTTTATGAGCTGGGAGTGGAGGCGATGGAGAGGTTTCGTGAGGATGAGGGTTTGTTTCATCAGGGAGTAAGAGCGGCCTTTACCTGAGAAGGAGTTCCAGCGTCAGATTTGGCTGCTCTTTGAGCACCCAGAAAGCTCAGGCCCCGCCAGAGGGATTGCCATTGTGTCTGTAATGGTGATCCTGATTTCAATAGTCATATTTTGTTTAGAGACTATACCGCAGCTAAAAGAGGACCCAATGGGTCGAAAGATGATAGTGGGGAACACTACTATTTATTACAAGCCAAATATCTTCACTGACCCCTTCTTTGTCATTGAGACACTCTGCATAATCTGGTTCTCCTTTGAGTTGGTAGTACGCTTTCTGGCATGCCCAAGTAAACCGGCCTTCTTCAAGAACATGATGAACATGATCGACATAGTGGCTATCATCCCTTACTTCATTACACTTGGCACAGAGCTGGCTGAAGACAATGACAATGACAATGACAATGACAAAGATGGAGTAGGGGAGCAGGCAACATCTCTGGCCATACTCAGGGTGATTCGTCTGGTCAGGGTGTTTAGGATCTTTAAGCTGTCACGACACTCTAAAGGACTCCAAATTTTGGGGCAGACACTCAAGGCCAGCATGCGAGAGCTCGGATTGCTTATCTTCTTTCTGTTCATTGGAGTCATCTTGTTTTCCAGTGCTGTCTACTTTGCTGAGGCAGAGGAAAAAGGATCATACTTTGACAGCATCCCAGATGCATTTTGGTGGGCCGTTGTGTCTATGACAACTGTAGGCTATGGCGACATGTATCCGGTCACTATAGGAGGCAAGATCGTGGGTTCTTTGTGCGCCATCGCTGGAGTGTTGACAATTGCACTCCCAGTGCCTGTCATTGTGTCCAACTTCAACTACTTCTACCACAGGGAGACTGAAGGAGAAGAGCAGGCCCAGCTGCTCAACGTCAGCAATCCCAACATCCCTTCTGAAACCAACTCCAGCCGCCGTAGTTCTTCCACTGTCAGCAAGTCAGAGTACATGGAAATTGATGGAGACATAAACAATAGCATCGACAACTTTAGGGAGGCAAATCTCAGAACTGGCAATTGCACTATAGCCAACCAAAACTGTGTAAATAAAAGCAAGCTGCTTACAGATGTTTAGACATAGTTAGACATACTTAGGAACTTTCGGATCAGGGATACGGGGTTGTCATATGTGGAGTAGACCATTGGTTAGGAATGCTTCATTTACCTCTCCAAAGCACTCTATGGCTATAGGCCTACAAATATGCTCAGCTATATAAGAAGGAAGCAGACTAAACAAAGCTGTTAGAGTATATGACAGGTGGATAGAATAATTAATTCTTCTGCTGCTACAAATATATAGGTATATCAAAAGAAAACTTTGACCATTAAGCTTATACACGGCTCCCTGGAGGACGCAAAGCACACACTGTCTAAGCAGATGACAGTGTGATAATGAAAATCATATGCATGGAGCACAGATCATTTCAGCAAGTTGCACAGTGCACCGGAAAAGTCTGCAGATACATGCAAACATCTGCAGACACACACACACACACCACATTT